CAGGGGAGCAATGACTTTTCAGGCTCAGGGGGCCGGTGCCGTCTGATAACACGTCGAGGGTTATAGTTTGGCATGTGGGGCATGTGTCTTTATGGGTGGGGTGAAAGAGATGAAATGGACTTTAGGCTTAGTGTATTTTTAATGTAGTTCAGTATTTTGTGCAGTGGTGCATTTAAAGCAAAAGGCCATCGTGTTTTTACATGTTGCCATGATTCTGAGAAAACGGTCCAGCTCTGCTCAGTCCGTTGGGAGAAGTCTGTTATTTGCTTAGATTAGAAACACTTGCTGAGAAAAGGGACTCAGGCCCGTTAAAAACAGGTACGTCTCAAAAGCTCAGCGTTTCGAGGCGCGGGGCTGCGTTTCGGCGAGGGCGGGTAGAGGCCGGCAGCAGGGCGGCGGGCAGGAAGGAGGCCGGGGCCAGGGTGCCGGACGCCCCGTTTCGGCAGCGGCTGGGGCACCCCGCCGCAGGGGCCGTAGGACTTGTGTGGCTTTGCGCGGGTGCGTTTTTGCGCTGGAGTTTGGGCCGGTTTGTGCCAGTTCCAGAGCTGATGGACCCCAAAGAAAAATGTCAAAAGTGCTGGTAAAACCACGCAGTGTCAGAGGGAGCTGGAGAAAGTATTACCTACTGATGCTGAGTTCTCAAAACGTACACGGCGTATTTAAAGGATTCCTCAGGAGACAAGCAGCATTTTTTTCCACTTCATTTAGCATTTTTGAGGCACTTCTCATAATAACAGAATCCTGCCTATTGCCTTGTTAATAAATCCAGGCATACGTACCAGGTGCCAGTGTCACCAGTCTCCCAAAACGGGCTCTGGCCTCCTCTGTCTTCAAAGACAAGTGTAAGGTCAAATGTTTCAGGGTGGGCACGCAGCCAACTTTGTCAAGACTGACGCTTTAAGAAAAATGTTGGAGGTGAATGCTGTATATTATTATATTTGATTAGAAACTCAAGGAAGCAATTTAGAAAGAGAAAGGTCCTGTTAAGTAAAACAAAGCACTGCCGTCTCCTTTAGTCAGCTGACAGAAAGCTCAGTGCCAGCCCCCCTTGCCAAGACTGTGATGAAGTGGGGGCTGCAGTCCTTAACAGCTCCAAGCAAAGCCTCTCGGTTACAAGGTGTTTTACAATTCTCCTGGTATTCCCAGTAATGAGTTGCAAGCCCTGTTTGAATTCCCTCGTACTTAAGCTTTTAT